AGAAGGAACTACTGAATCAATCTTGCTCGGGGAATTTCCGAGTTGGAAGATCCCTCCTTACTCAAGAGAGAGTAGCGAGGAGCCCCATAGGGGCCCTGCGTCTACAACAGATCCTGCAGTTTCGGCTTCGACACCGGCGGCTACTTAAGCTGAAGCTCCTGTTCAGGGGAAGGGTTCCAGATGAGATACGGTTCTTAAGTGGTTCCGCCTCTCCCTTCGTCGCCGTCCTTTGGAACTCTCTTTGCTGTCCTGCTCTTGCAATAACCGGTGGTGGCGTTGTCCGCTCTTTTGGTGCTATCTTCGTATATATAATAGAATAGATCACGCCTCTAACTATTAATTTCTTAATATAAGATAGAAGGAGTGTAGGCTAGATTCACGGTATGCCAGTTGATTGATTCTACTGCACTTTCCAGATTGGGTTAGTGTTCAATTAACCGGTGTAAGCCTATCCGCTATTAGAGTTCTCCTTGCCGCTGCAAGAAGAGTAAGCGGTGTGATCTCATCCCAAACAGTTGTTGGCGTAAGACGCCACTGAATTTCGCCGATCAAGTCTATGGCGTAAAACAAGACTGAAGTCCCGCATTATTCACCAACAGTGAAATAATGTAGGCAGAGCGAAAGGAAAGAATCTTCTCAATTTTATGACAAATCTGGTCCGATGGCTGTTCTCCACTAACCACAAAGATATAGGGACTCTATATTTCATCTTCGGTGCCATTGCTGGAGTGATGGGCACATGCTTCTCAGTACTGATTCGTATGGAATTAGCACGACCCGGCGATCAAATTCTTGGAGGAAATCATCAACTTTATAATGTTTTAATAACGGCTCACGCTTTTTTAATGATCTTTTTTATGGTTATGCCGGCGATGATAGGTGGATCTGGTAATTGGTCTGTTCCGATTCTAATAGGTGCACCTGACATGGCATTTCCGCGATTAAATAATATTTCATTCTGGTTGTTGCCACCAAGTCTCTTGCTCCTATTAAGCTCAGCCTTAGTAGAAGTGGGTAGCGGCACTGGGTGGACGGTCTATCCGCCCTTAAGCGGTATTACCAGCCATTCTGGAGGAGCAGTTGATTCAGCAATTTCTAGTCTTCATCTATCTGGTGTTTCATCCATTTTAGGTTCTATCAATTTTATAACAACTATCTCCAACATGCGTGGACCTGGAATGACTATGCATAGATCACCCCTATTTGTGTGGTCCGTTCTAGTGACAGCATTCCCACTTTTATTATCACTTCCGGTACTGGCAGGGGCAATTACCATGTTATTAACCGATCGAAACTTTAATACAACCTTTTCTGATCCCGCTGGAGGGGGAGACCCCATATTATACCAGCATCTCTTTCGGTTCTTCGGTTTTAAATGGCCCTTTTCAGATTCAAATCTGAATACGCATTGCGCTGTATGCTGGGACTGTCTGCTTAATGGTACTACTACTATGTTCATAAGTGGTTTTCTACCCCGATCTAGTCAAAATGGAGTATCTAAGACACAATCAGCAGGTAACCAACGACATAAAAGCAGTCTAGTAGGAACCTCAGAGACTACATGCGCAACAACTTATCCAAAATCGTTCTGTGAGTGGCTAGCTGGAATTATCGATGGTGATGGAAGTATTCAAGTTAGTAAAAAAGGATATACTTCTCTTGAAATTACTATGGGACTTGAAGATCTACCACTACTACGATATATCCAACATATGCTTGGTGGAAGTATTAAAATGCGAGCAGGTGCTAAAGCTTATCGTTATCGACTACATAATCAACTTGGTATGATTAAACTAATGAATTGTATTAATGGTCATATTCGACATTCAGCACGACTACTTCAACTACATCGTGTCTGTCAAGTACTGGATATCCCTGTAATTCTACCTATTACACTAGATGCTCAATCAAATTGGTTTGCAGGATTCTTTGATGCTGATGGTACCATTGGTATCGCTATGAAGCATCGACTACCTCAACTAAGTATTCGAGTAACTAATAAACTTCTACAAGATGTAGAGTCTTATAAGGTAGTATTTGGAGGAAATATCTACTTTGATAGTAGTCAAAATGGTTACTATCAATGGTCTGTACAAAGTAGAAAAGATGTTATCATGATGCTAGATTACTTTAAATCAAGTACTTTCCGAAGTCATAAATCACGACGATTCTTCCTTATTGAGGAATATTACAGTCTTTACGATCTCAAAGCATTTAAACCTGACAGTATTCACCATAAAGCATGGCTAGCTTTCCTAGACAAATGGAATAAGTTGATGATATAGTCCACCTTTCTTCTATTCATCCGCTTATATTAGTAGAAGAGAGAAGCACCCTGAAGTTTACATCCTCATTCTGCCTGGATCCGGTATCATAAGTCATATCGTTTCGACTTTTTCGGGAAAACCGGTCTTCGGGTATCTAGGCATGGTTTATGCCATGATCAGTATAGGTGTTCTTGGATTTCTTGTTTGGGCTCATCATATGTTTACTGTGGGCTTAGACGTTGATACCCGTGCCTACTTCACCGCAGCTACCATGATCATAGCTGTCCCCACTGGAATCAAAATCTTTAGTTGGATCGCTACCATGTGGGGGGGTTCGATACAATACAAAACACCCATGTTATTTGCTGTAGGGTTCATCTTTTTGTTCACCATAGGAGGACTCACTGGAATAGTCCCGGCAAATTCAGGGCTAGACATTGCTCTACATGATACTTATTATGTGGTTGCACATTTCCATTATGTACTTTCTATGGGAGCCGTTTTTGCTTTATTTGCAGGATTTCACTATTGGGTGGGTAAAATCTTTGGTCGGACATACCCTGAAACTTTAGGTCAAATCCATTTTTGGATCACTTTTTTTGGGGTGAATCTGACCTTCTTTCCCATGCATTTCTTAGGGCTTTCGGGTATGCCACGTCGCATTCCAGATTATCCAGATGCTTACGCTGGATGGAATGCCCTTAGCAGTTTTGGCTCTTATATATCCGTAGTTGGGATTCGTCGTTTCTTCGTGGTCGTAACAATCACTTCAAGCAGTGGAAATAACAAAAGATGTGCTCCAAGTCCTTGGGCTGTTGAACAGAATTCAACCACACCGGAATGGATGGTACAAAGTCCTCCAGCTTTTCATACTTTTGGAGAACTTCCAGCTATCAAGGAGACGAAAAGCTATGTGAAGTAAAAGAAGAAAAGGTTGCCGACTGCTACTAAGAACCTAACAGAACTTTTCAAAAAGTGAAGATTTCTTTCATTCATTTAGTGAGTTGTGTGCTTCCCCATCAGGGAAGGAAGGCCCCCTCTTGCGTTATCTTCCGCTTCCCGGTTGGGGAAGGGCGCGCTCGTTTAACATTTGAATTACTCAACCTCAACGTTTTTAACTAACCGATTCGATGGCTACTTTAGCCTTACGACAATGTCTTATCTTGGAAATCCAGAAGACGTTTCAAAAGTATGATCCTATCTACAATAGGGTCGACCTCTGTCAAATAGAAAAGTCGATTATGAGTGGGTCGTATCAACTCTCTTTTTTTTGGATAAAGTCTCAGTACAGGGGCTTTCCTTTTAAGATGGACATTGTTTTTATCGGTTCGAGACTCTCGTTGATCAGGAATGCTCTCTTTTTGAGAAGGACTACTATCTTTGTGTCAAACTCGAAGATGAAATTATTCTGATCTCACTTGCAAATGTTCTTCAAAAGTACGTCTTAACCCCAAGTGTCTTTCTTGAGAACAGTCATTCGCCTGCCGGACAGATAAGGGACTACGCCTCTTTTTGGCTCAGATAAGAAATTGGTCCAATCTGAGGGCCCTCGTTGTTATAGATTTTTCTGCTTTTATTAAGATTCTTTGTAGAAAGCAGCTTCTGGACAAGATCAAGCCTATCATATAGAGGATCAATTCATAAGAAATCTAATCGATAGCTTTCTTCATTCTCAGATACTGGACAAGAAAGAGATAAATCGGGCCGACGAAAAAATACCGCCCGTCCGATTTCTGCGTTCGGTTTTCTTTCATTTTTTTTTTACGATATGGACAGAAAATTCCTTTCTAAGTTTCCGGACTGGACCTTCGCACGATTCTATCATCACATGCTTGTTCCAATCGGAACTGGAAAATCAGAAATTTGCACGGGTACAGAAGAAGATCTCTTATTTTTACAAAATGCCTTTATACAAGAAGGAATTTCATTTCATATTCTTAAGCCGGAAGGCGGTTGGCTGTCTTTTTGGGATTATCTTCCTTAACAAATTTGGGAAAATTCAGCGGATTCCTGGAGAAAAAAACTTTGACTATGCTATGTATGAATGATCCTTTCTATTTCATAGGAGATCCTGGTCCATTATTTATAGTTCTTGCATTAACCGGTCCTGAATTAAGTAAAACTTTCGAAATGACTATCATATACAAAAAAGTTTCTTCCGCTTTCCTACCGTACTACACGAGAGGACCCCCTGCCCTGGAACAATTACGACCGACAAAGAAACTCGATCCTCGGAGTCTAAAGAGGAACCCCTATTGCCCGAGAAAAGGGGGTTTCACAAATGGTGGGCCACAAAGGTTTCTTCGTCCCAACGGAGCGAAGGAAGTCAGTTTCATTTGGCGGTATCGTATATAAGAGAAAGGCTTCATTTAGGAGCGCAGTTTTCATCCAACTAGAAATCTCATAAGAGAAGACAGCTTTAGCCCCTCCCATGTCTTTCTTGGTTGGACTAAGCCAACCGGCGGTGGGGGAAAGACTTTATTCATTGATCAGAGGGAGTTGATCAGGATAAATCGCTCTCCATTCACTCCGCTAGGTAGTATAGAACGCGCTGGGGGAACTGTTAGTTACCGAACACTACCTTCTTTCTTTGGAATGAACAAACACCATACGCCTAGATTGGCGACTTATGGTTTAGGGAGATGAGCCCTTCTCCGCATAGGGAAATTGGCCTAGATCCAGATACACCCATCCATCTCTTTGTCCCGCTACCTCACTCCCCGCCCCAGCTTCTTTTTTTCGCATGCTACATAGAGAATCACCCATTCTTTCTCTCTTTCCGCTAACACCTGATTGGATTCGGAGGTCTTATATCCGAGACAAGGCGACAGTATGAACAGTAAAAAGAATAGTCCGTATTGTCAGGAATCGTTTTTTATATAGCTACCCACGTAAATGGAATGGACCTCTTTTTCGCCCGCTGTAGCGTACCACTTGACTGCTTGACTCTTCCTTCCTGTCTCATCATGTTGCCCTGGGACACATTCCATCGACGTTTCCGTGGTAGAAAGGTAAAGAGATATGAGAGTGAGGCTAGCTTTGGGCATCCTCTAAGCCCTAAGAGAAGGGATGTGCTTAGACGACTCTTTGAACTAGTTTCAAAGGCTTGATTGACCCTTGGGATTGAATCTGGCTAGGGCGCCCTCTTAAGGCGTAGGGTAGTGATTTGAAAGCTGAGGCCTCTACTCATCTAGTTCTTTCGTTACGCCGAAAAGAGAAAGAAGCTTGGAATAGGAAGAAGAGAGGGTCAATCTTCTATTATTGACGAGACTGCTAAAAAAGAGGCTCGCCAGAACGAGTCCTCTCTTGCGGGATTGGATTGATTCCGCTATCACTACTCACTTAGTTTCACGGAGTCTCGATGTTTTCTCTTTCCCCATCTCAAGGACTGGAAAGAATCAACGGATCACAGAGGGTCTCTTCCCATGACCCCTGCGGAGAAAGCCTTTCTTTGAGCTATGCGCAGGGTCAATCCGCTTTTCAAGTCTCAGACTGGTGTTGTTGGGTTGTGACAGTCTCAATGCCCTTATGACAGGGCAGTAGGACCGAGATCTCATAGGGGCGGCATTTTACTGCGGCTCCCTATGAAGGCACCAGTCGAATAGCAACCACTTCGGGAACAGGATTTCTCCCCAAAGCGGGCTTTTATTCGTCCGCCAGAACGAACCGACCAAAGCGGTGGGGGCACGGTTAGCCCAACTCACCCAGCGCTTGAAGCAAGGTTCAGCACTTTTTTCAGGGTTTGACCAACCTTCCCTCTAGTCTGATAGATCGCTTTCTCTTGCGCATTAATGAATGGATCGAGGAATTACGTATGAAAGGTTTATGGTCTATCTGAGATTATCTATCTAGTACGATCGATCAAGTCAGGGGGGAAGAAGCGGGGTAGAGGAATTGGTCAACTCATCAGGCTCATGACCTGAAGATTGCAGGTTCGAATCCTGCCCCCGCCTCAAAACTAAAAGGGGAGGGCGTTGTTCTTGGTCCAGGGATTAAGTGATTTCCAAATCAAGATAGTAGGAAGTCCAACCCAGGTAAGTTGCTCTACCTAATGGTAGAGTTTGGTTGGAAGAACTAGTTTATCTATCACGTAGGGGATTGGCTACATCCCGCCACAACTGCCGAAATGCCCTTGCTTGGGTCAGCTCTTCGGGGGTCAAGTCTTTTGACAAGTTTTTCTGAGGCCACCTTTCTTAGTAAAGGCTTTTCTTTGTGGTTTGTGATGGGTCTAGCCTCTCCAAACGTTCTCAAATCGGCCTCTTTGTTGTTGTTGCGGGCGTACGGTACTACGGCCTTTATTATTCCACTTTCTAAAAATGTAGAGCAGCGAATCGAGAGTCTCTCGCTATGTCCCCATTCCTTGATTCTGGCCGATCTTCTTTAATCCAAAGCCAGTGCAAGCGGATCACCTCTCAGAAAGAGAGGGACATGAGCGCGCAAAGCCCTAGCTAATGAACGAAAGAGCGCGCGTTACCTTGCTCTTGAGTTGAGCTGCAAGCTTAGAACTAGGAAAGGCGCAAAGGCTCTAATCAAATAGGCACTCTAAAATCAAGCTTTGAAAGCAGGCAGGCAGGGCAGTGAGACTCCGTGGAGGACCCTTCCGGCCCATCAACGGAGGTCGAATTCCAGCAACAAATGAGAATAGGGGGTCTAGGGTCTAAAGAGGGAAAAAGGATATATATCCTTTTGACAGCCATTTCATTTCCTTCTTAAAATTACTCAGATCTTTCCTGTAAAAAAGTAGTTAAGATCAGATAGACCGAATGAGCTGCGAAATCAACAGTCTGGCAACTGCCTTGACAGGTCGAAAGAAGACGAGTTACCCTTCTTCTCTTTGAGAAAGTCCCCGAGATCCTTTTCTTAGTGGGGATTCGAGAACCCGGTCTTTTTCCTTCTCATGGATCAAATCGAATGCTTAAGCGAATAAGGTTGAACCTCTGTCTACCCTCTTCTTTGACTATGCATATGGATCTGAGGTCACTAATCCTTCTTGGAAAAGTCTTTCTATCTCTTTTGACTATGAGGATACCATGCCCATTACGGAATACAATGTGTCAATAGAGTGGATGCTGTCCATCTTCTGAGGAAGGATTCGCTGCTAAGACCGGATAAGCATTCAGTTACCTTGCATTCGATTTTACTATGTCCGAGAACAATTAACCTTGAAGAAGCCCTTTGTCTACTTGCTTGAAGTTGAAGCTTTGTTCCCGTGTCAATCTAGGACAATCAGTTCCTTAACAACCGTCGCAAACAGCATCTTTGTACTAATAGAAGAAGGCATTCTTGCTAAGATCGAAATCTCCGCTTTAGGCAGCTTAATGAAAGCAGAAGGAAGGCGCTAGCTTCCTATTCTATTCGTTGCAGCTTACTCTTTCTATCTGTTTTGAAGGAGCTCCAAAAAGACTTTACTTCAGAGCGGGGAATCTTCCTACACTACAAGTGCGCACCAACAAGCTACTACGATTGAAAAAGTGAAATTGGATTCAGTTAATCCGCGCATATGTCCTGAACCTGAAAAGGCATATTGAGTCCTTAGAACAGAATTGGAAGCGAAGACTCCTCCACTCAAGTATCCCGGTCTACCCTCTCTATCGTTCAATCTTATGTACGGAAAAAGAGTGGATTCAAAACAGTTCAGATAGCTATGTCTTTTTTGCTCCACTCCCTTTTGAGGGAGATTCAAAGAGTCGTCATAGCCTAAACTAGTTTCCAACTGAAAGAGATTTCCAGTGCAGTGGAAGAACGTTGCTGAGCTTGCCGAAAAAGAGTAAGATGCTGATTCTATAGCTGCTCCGATTCCTTCAACAGAACAGGAGAGGGAACACTTTGCTACTTCGTCCCCTTCCTTGCCTGCTTCAATCAAATCAATCGTATTTCTTTCGTGAAAACGGAAACGTACTTAATTAAGGATGATGCCTGTGCCCTGCCGAGTGAAGGAGAGATTGTCGTACTTATGGGGATCCAAAGTTACCCCTGGTCTGGGAGTCCTGAGAATACTGAATACGAGGTATCATCTAGTATCTCTTGACCGGACTAGTCTCGTCCCATCTGGGCTCTTTGGCTGACATATCAAAAGGGTAGGATTCCGTTCCCGAGGGGGTGAGGCTGCCGCGCTTGGTACGGTGAGTTGCTAGCTATGGATCAAAGAGAAGGGCATATGTGATATCCATTCCGGTTCTTGATGCCCCTAAGGCAAAAGAGCTAAAGAAATGTTTTCTGATACTGCCTATCCTTTTGATCCTTTGAATCAAAAGAAGATAAAAAGGGTAAGCTCCGTTTCTATTTATCTTGCTTCTATTCTTCTAACTATAATGCTTTCCGAATCAATATCCCAATATGGTTTGCTAGTCCCCATTCATTAGTCTTTTCTAAGACGCTGTAAACGTGGCTAGTCTCTGAAAATGCCCGTACCTGGGGAACAAATCTTCTTTCTTCGAGGAAGACAATCTTCTTAAAACAGAAGGTTCGATCAAAGAGTGCAGCTGGCTAAGCCGCATCTTCTGCTTTAGCTTTAGCGGTAGTGCTTTAAAGTGACAGTCTTTACTTAGTCCCAAGTCTTATAGTCTGGACAAACTGGACAGACATCAAGATAGGTTCACCCGTTTCCGAGCGAGACAACCAGGACATCGTCCCTTCTTAGGGATTATCAGTCCATAAGAATTCACACGAAAAGGATGCAATCCTTCACCATAGAGAAAATACTCTTTTGAAGAACAGACACAGTTCAATTTAATATCTGTTTCCATCCAAGTACTTTCAACAGAACCCTCTATTTCATAGATTGGTTCCGAATTATCTAAGTCTCTTTTTAACTTCTGTAATAGAGAATATCTGACGAGAAGTTCATCTCGAGCATTTATTTTCCGTTAATAGGAGCATCAAAGATATCCTCTATGGAGACCTTCATTATCCTACTCTTAACAGTAGGGAATGAACACTCCGCGTAATTTAATAGTTGGAAGTATCCAGTCCACCATGCATTATAACTCAACCAAGAGCTAACCCAACCACGCATACTAGTATATTCCTGAAAGGTCCTCTGTCCGAGAAGGAGGAACTGATTAAGGGAAAGGGCTAAAAGCAAGAAGAAAATAATTTATAGAATTCCATTTTGAATATCCGGTGCTCTCTTTCCTGTAGTCGTAATATCTAGTTTCCTCTTTGATTTTCCAACTAATGCCAGATCTGATTCAATAGGACCGGTTATGCACCCAACAAGAGCGGATAGGAGTACTCTTACTCAAGGACAGGAAGCTATCACAGCGCAGCGTCAGGGCAAGGCAAATAAAAAAATCACTCCTATTGGAAGAATTTACGATCAGAGCTAAAAGATTGATAGAGAATGAAATAGCAATTGTAGCTACTTCTGTGCGTGGCTATCTTCTCCTATTGATTAACGTCCTTATAAGAGCTACTTTACTTCTATTCCTTCTGTCCGCGGGTGCCCTTCCTCAAAGCGATCTCTTTCTACTTCCATGACAAATGCGGAGAAAAAAAAGTATCTTTTTCACATTCGCCGACCGGGGAATATGAAATTCTTAGCTTATGAAAAAGTCATTTCTATCCGTAGAAGAATAGCCCTAGTCTGAATCCTAGATGCAGAGAATCGTCTGTTAACTTGATTTCTCTTTCTCGATAGCCAGCTTTTCTTTTCATAGTGTAGTTTCGGACCTTTACTATGGAATGTAATTCTATTCCATAGAATAAAGACGCAATCGGTTTATGACCGAAAGCTCATCTCAGACGCGGAATTACCGGTCTTTGAAAGGGGGTGAAAGCAATTAAAAGAACCAAAAGTCTCGTGGGGACTCCTTTCTTTTATAAGTTAAGAGAAAGAAGCGGGAGGAAACCACAATTGCGCTCCCCAGCGAGAGGGGTGACCCTACTCATCACGCCCACCGTTAAGGTTCCGAGGCCATCGTCGGCATGCTGCTCGTTACTTACCCCTTTTTTGAAATCCACTGCCTTCCTTACCCGAAATCAAACTAGAAAACTTTTCTTCACTCACGCGATTTCAATGCCCGGGGGATAGGGGTCAAGTTTCAATTTATACCTTCTAACTTACTTATTCCGCCCTCAACACTTGTCATCTCCAGAACAGAATTCCTGCTCCCGAGAGTAAAGGCGAGGCTTTCAAGACCCAGTGAAGCCCGAAAGTCACTCTAGTCCTCGTTGACTCTGACGCCTTCGATCTAGTGGAATTAGTGGACGACTCCGAATGCGGAGTAAGAAACTACGGGTTTGTTTGATCGACAACTTGCTAGTCGACAGAAGGATTTTCAAACTCGATAGCTTTCTGGTTGAACTACTTTCTAGAACTTCTGATAGAACTATCCCCTTCGCCTTCTAAAGTCTTTAGTAGGGCACTCAAGACTTCAATCGCGAATTCTCAGTTGGAATCTTCTTTGGAAGAGAGGCAGTATACCGGGCTAGCAGGACTGAATGCTGAGTAAGCTACCTGGAAAGAGGTTTTTGGGAAGGAAGTAGCCTTTCGACTGACTTTAGAAGGCCTTGAATTGAGGGATGTAGGCAAGCTTTAGCTTGGTTCTTTTATCGATTGATAGAAGGACGGATTTCAAATAGTGTTTGTAACCTTGCTCGCACAAGTGAGATGACTGCCTGTGTGATAGCGACCAATAAGCACCTTATCTATTAAGTGGGGTGCATCTATGGGGAAAGCGTCCAACTCAACATGTCCGATGCGAGAGAAGACTGGTCCGCTACTATAGGTGGGTTACTTACCGTACGAATGAATCCCCACCTGATCTATTGCTAATAATCAAGAGCAAGATAAGGGCGTAGTAAATAGAAGAAAAGATCTTGCTTACTCCCAGAGGGACAGACGCTCTCCAAAACTTGTGTGTCGAGCAAGCTGTTTCATTCTGTTTTTGCGTCTCGATTCGGGATTGAAGGCCCCACGGTCTAATATCTGTGTCAAAGAGCGGATTCTCTTGCAGCTTATTCTCGAACAGCGGATACGGGGCATGTCCCTGAGACTAATGCAATCAGTTCCTTCCGTCGCCTGACTTCTCTGTTAATTCAATATCTGTCTGTCCGGAAAGAGAACTCCTAAATGCAAGCTTTCTCTTCGTCTAACGAAGCCAATGTGAATTCTATGTTTGTTTCTGAGAGCTTCAACTCTTGCTTTCCCCTAGAAATGTCTCTCCACTCCCTGACTCCATTCTCCGAAGGAAGGGCAGTTGAACTCATACTTGCCATTAAGAGGAATCGCTCCTCGGCAGTACTAGTCGGAACTCAACTCCTAACCTTTGAAATTGAGCTTCTCCGGTCCTGGGAGAGTAGCTTCTTTCTTTGACTGGGTTTGCCTTCAACTGACCCCGGCCGGAACAGGAAGATTCGGAACAGTTTTTAGAAGAAAGAAGATCAGGTGATCTCTACTAAATGGGGCTAGGGACTCCTACCCCGAGGCGATCGAAGTGAGGACAGATCGTCAAAGGGCGACGTATATAAAGAGGTGTCCGGTTCAGAAGTGGAGACCGAATCAATTCAAGTAGATGGAGCAGCTCTTCTCACTTTTTTTCCATTCCGGAAAGCAGAAGCCGGGGCGTGAAGACTGAAGTAGGAATGTGACTTACTTAGTAAAGTTCACCAACTGACCTGAGGCTCTGCAAAACGGGTTGAGGGCCTTTGAAGCTCAATAACACCAGTGGATTTTTTAAAAAAAAGGATGCAGTCATCTGCATAAAGCAGATGTATGACAAGGGTTGCCACTCGGTCTACTTAAAAACCTCTGATTGTCTTTCTTGAGGCCAATTCCAACAGATATCTTTAGAATACAATACATCCATACCAAAACATAAAGTAAAGGGGAAAGTGGGTCACCCTGCCGAAGTCCCCTCGAGCTCTTGAAACTTTTTGGGAGTTCTCCATTAAGAATGTTAGAAAAAGTTGGAATTTTCACACACTCCATAATCCAGCCAATGAAGGTAGAATCAAACCCCAGCTTCTTTAAGACGGAAAGGTGTATCAGTCTGCAATCGGAGATTCAATACCAGCGGTTACGGATGATATTGCTAAGAGAGCAACTACTCTTTCTTTAACCCCTTACTCTATCAAGTCTGCTACTTCTGAACCTTACCACTGTAGGGGAGAATCTTTGATTATAGAACATTAGAATATAAGATCACTGGGTGTTCAGTCTACCCTTTCATGCTAAGATAACCTTCAAGCTTTAGTCACGCCTTCCTAGTTCATCAATGGGTGCCGGTAAATAAGAGGAGCAGAAGCCCAGGTGTTCAAGCCAATAACTCTTTCTTCCCCTTCGAACTTCACACTATCTGGCATCACAGCCTATTCCGACAACGTGCCAAGCTCTAAAGGAATCGCCTTTCTTTTCTCTCGGCTTCCGCTCCTACTTCGTAAGGAAGTTGAGTCCCTTCTTCCTTTGCTACTGACTTTGCTAGCTCTTTCTGTGCTTCGGGTATTCTATCATTCATAATCATGTCGATTGCTTTGCTTTTGATGGAGAAATCTAATCAGTGGGGTGCTTTTAAATCACTAGGTTCAAAAAGAAAAAAGGTGCTTTCAAGCCTGACTTTTGTTGAAGGGGCCCACGGCTTTCTCGATCGCTGTTCAAGCGCGCATCGCTCATCAAGCTTGAGAGAGGATCTTAGCCAAACGGTGACCGGCCAGTAGGAACTTTTGGCGCTGGTTCCTCAATCCACTCTCTATCGTGACTCGCAATACGTACCAGAGATCGAGGGAGAGTCGAACTCCCATTGCCTTTTTGTTAGGCTTTTCATTCTTCCCCACCGTCCTAGGAGCTTAAGGAGATCAATCTTTCGGCTTGCTCCCCTATAAGAATCAGAGGAAGGTTCCACCGATTTCCTTTCTGTGGAGTGAAAGAGCTTAGCTTAATAGCTTCCCTGAAAGAGGGCCCCCCCTAATTACTTAGGAAGACGGCGATAGCTATAACTTTTTTCTAGATAGGCTTGCTGCTTAGTCGGCTCCCGCTTCTGCTGCCTCATCCGAGGATTGACAAGTAGGCCTTTTTGGGCCGAGGTTGCATACCATAGTTGAGTTGGACAGTACCTTTGCCTTTGACTACATAGTCTATTTAACTGGCCAATAAAAGGGCCTATTGCCGAGGTTCCCTCTGAATCTTTAGGGAAGGGCAGCCCCTTTATCACATGCCAACGTTAGGACACTCAAGCCGTTTTACCCCTTCCAACTAAGAGAATGACATGAAATAAATAGGAAGAACAAGATAAGACCCATACACAAACCTAGAAACTACACAAGAGGTCGCACAAAGACTCCCAATCAAGCAGGCAAGTAGAATAGACTAAGCCAAACAAAGCGTCGGCGGTAACTACACTGCATTGGAGCTTTTCACTCAATTACAATTCGTTCAGTCGTGTTCTTCGGGTGAGGAGCACTCCTTCACTCCCATGAAATGCTAATATGTAACATAGCGTAGATGAGAGTGCATCGTCCGGAAGGCTTGAAATCATGCTTAAAAAGCTAGTTTTTTTACCGTGAATGTCACCGCAGAATTTTATCAAAAACCCTTTTTTTTAAGTTCAACTCGTCACAATAAATGTCTTTTTCTGAGCTCTTAACCCCGCGGGGGGTTTATAAAAACCGAATTGGTGGACCGAGTCCCTACAACGAAACCGGACTAGGTAGTTTTTAGTGATTAGCTAGTCACGAAGGGAGACATTGAGACAAGACCGACTGTCGGCGGGATCAGCCAGTGTCCCCTTGTGTAAGGACCTTTTCATTAAAGAATGCTTTCTGTCCCATGAATCCAACTTTTTTGTGGTATGTCTAGCGGATGGTGAATTGAATCCTACCCAGATCGGAATCCGAGATTGACTCGGTTTCCGAGAAGTATCTTAATGGCAACCGGACTACTCTTCTATGGTAGTCAAATGCTTTTTGGGACTCCCCTGGATTTTATGCCTTCCCTTTCCCAGCCACTCTCTTAGTTCCGATCTAGAATCCTTTGAGCGCCTTATCACGAAAGCTAGCAAGCTTACGAAATGAACGAAGAGGAGTTTCGTTCGATAGCGCTCGTCTAGAAATTCTAATTATGATAAAATAAACCGCGTACTGAAGACATATAGGCTTCAACAAGATTCAGTAAACACGAACCTATTTCATTGCTTTTGAGAACCTTGGATTCTTAAGCCATCCAGTCCACAGATCGATCTGCCGAGCCCACTTTTTTAGGTTCTTTGTCGGGGTCGGGAGAAAGGCTCTTTAGCGGGATAACCTTTTTAGGATATCCAATCCGCTAGTCTTAGCTTAGTGCCTACAGAATCCAATCCCCTGCTCGTGGAAGGTTTGCAGGAAAAGAAACTTTCATGCCTGTTGTTCCGTGTTTTCACCTCTGCGAACATGCTCAAAAAGTGATCCCATAAACCTTCGCTTGAACTGTCTCATTTTACTCATACATCAACGGGTGCCTGCATTGAAAAACCCTGTGAAAGACACTTCGACGCCCAAAGACTCCCATGCCTTTCTTGGGTGGAAAACCAAACAAACTGGTGATTTCCGACTCCTTTCATCATTTTTTTGCGTAAAGTAGAGACTTCGGCTACATTCTATGTAGTTTTTTTTATTTTGTATCTTTGTGTTGGCGAAACATTCTTAATAGTAGTGGAGTTTAAAGTTCCAGTCTTGTTTTACTTACCCTACGTAACCTAATTAACAGAGACAAGCATGGCAGACAAAGACACTTACCGATTGGGTTTACGGTTTATAAGATCCGTATCCATGTCCCTAACAAAAAAGAGTCAAAAACTCGCTAAAATTTAGCCATTCAAACCTGAAGATCGTATTAGCTCGAGATTCCAAGGTAACGAGTCCTTAGTTGAACTGAGTAGTTCAGATTCAAGGGAATCAACCAATAACTTGGTAAGATGCATGGGCTGAAAAGACTGAGTTTCATTTCTTCGGGAAGCTTAGAGCAGCGATGTTTCTACTAGACGATGCTGCATCACAGAGAAAGTCTATCTAGTCCGTCCTTCCTATACTCATATTATTATTCTATCCTCCTATTATAAGTGTTCAGTACTAAAAAGTAATAAACGAATTGGGGTTAAAAAGATTATTCTGACGTCCTTTCGTCTTCGTCTCTTTAACATGAGATGTTTCTCTCTTTGGTATTGAGCATCACTCAACGACCAGAAACGCAAAGAAGTGGACTCTTCCTAAAAATTCTTAGTCTTGGATTCGTCATGGGATGCTTCTGATCCCCCGTTAAGTTAAGTAGAACCCAAGCCTCCATTTTGTTTGTTCCTCTACAACTCACCAAGAAATTTTCAAAGGTGAGTTTCGTAAACACTTAACCGATATCTTTCTTTCGTAGCAGACAAGAATGAGTTCGATCCATTAGGTTCTTCGATTTGTTCGGAAATCCCTCTTTGGATGAACATTTCATGGGATTCTTCCAATACTGAGATAACGAACTAGTACACCACCTTCTATTCTTAGCCGCAGAGAGCCCTCGTCACTCATTTCTGGTGATTCTGTATGGAGATTTTAATCTGAACTACGAACGTGGACCAGAGGCATCTTCCATTGATATCGATTTGGGGCGGTCGCCCTTAGAGCAGCCGGGTGGGCTCCATCCTTCTGGAATAATTGGTTTTAATTGAACACCGCGAAGCCAACTATATGAAAACTGGACCGGCAAGCCCAAGGACTGATTCCACGCTAAAGTTTGATTTAGAAGAGTACTCTATATAAATAGTAGGACAAACAAATATGACGACAACATAACGAAAACATAAAAAAAAGCGTTTAAAAGCTCCAAAACAAATTGAATAAATTCAAGAAAAGATTGCATCATGATACTCAAAAACATTGCATTCTCGCCCCTTGCTCGCGGAGCGGCATACCGGAAAAAAAAAAAGAAAAGCGTGATCGGATTGGGCCAGAGGCATCTTCCATTCATATCGATTTGGGTTTTTCCGCACCATATTTTGATCTGCCTCTT